AGAGAGAGAGAGAGAGAGAGAGAGAGAGAGAGAGAGAGAGAGAGAGATCCTAAAGGTAAATCAGATTTGCAGTCTGGAGACGTTTTTTTTTTTTTTTTTTGAACCAAGCTATATCTTCTCTCGGGTTCACCTCTCACAACCTACCTAAGACTACTTCTAAGCCTATACAAGGGACTCCTGCAAGCATAGCTACCTCTCACAATAAAGGGGATGCATGTTGCCCCCTGCCCTACCGGGGTTGGTCAGGGAGTAGGGTGGGGTCGCCAGAAGCTGCGCCTCCCATCGACTTCCAATGCCCCCGAGCACTCAAGCAACGCACACAACCCTGCCGCCCCCCAACCACCATCACACACACGCACACACCCCCCCATGATGGCCAAAGACCCTACCAATACCCACCGGGGTACCCTATATAGCAGCCACAACAACGGAACATGCGAGAGCTGCACTCACCAGGAGGTGCCATACCTGCTACAGCAGGTGGGCTCTACTGGCTAGGGTTCAGCCATTAGCACCAGGACGGTAGGACCCAGTCTCCCAGCTTCTTCTATGGGCCACTCGCGGTGTCTCCTCTCGGTTCCCTTCCTCCTAGGAACATCAGCAGTCTCGGCTCAATGCCGCTCTGGCGCACCGTCGGCCTATCTCTACTAGGTGGCAGGCGCCAAGCTTAGAAAGGACGGAACATGATGCCAATGGGGATTAAACCCGAGACCTCCTGAACGCCACTTCCCAGCCTTACCAACTGAGCTAAGCCGGTTAATCGAGGTTATCCCCCATCAACTCTACGAGTTCTTGGAACGGCTGCCACGTTGCGAGGCCGGCTTTGTCCACACGATTTTTCAGTACGTGCCACTGGTATGCGGGGCGGACGAAGTGAGACCGATCCACCTCGTCTCTTTCGGCCAGGCGATACAGCGCGGTACAGGCGTGGAGTTTGGTCCGCAGATCCTTATTGGCGCCCAGAAGATCCGCCAATCCAAACGCGGCGACAGTGGTCCCCGCCAAAGACATCTTGTTTTTGATGTTCTGAATGTTGTCTATAACGTTTTCGGATTTCCGGGTTCGCCAGTCGTCTTCGCACACGTCTCGAACCTCCGTTCTGAGAAGGTTGTAGTGATGAGCAAGGAGGTAAGCCATCAACCTCGCCGGAGCGCTGAACACCTTCTCCAGCAGCTCCTTTCTGAACTGCTCCAGCAGCTCCTCACTGGGAGAAGGGCTATTACCATTCAAAAAGGGAAGCATGAACTGCTTCCACCTGGTGCTTCGCCCTTCCTTAGCCAACTTGAACTCAGGTGAACCCCAGGAGTCGAGCTGAAGACGGACAAGATCTTTGTAGAACGTCCTGCCGCACCTCCTGACAAGATAATTGATCAATTGGCCAGCGCACGCTCCTTGCCTTTCATCTTTTGCTTGATACAAGTAGGATAAGAGCAGATCGCAGGTCAACATGGCCGTGAAAACAAGCTCCGGAGGTGAGGTGAAGTAGCGTACTTGCAGGAGGCGGGTCAGCTCCGTGATCTCGAAGGGAAAGAGATTGCCAGCTCCCAGCACGTGATAGGATTCGAGGACGAAGGCGATCAACTCCTTGGAATCGCGAGAGCTGCCGTGCGAGAGAGCCAGGGAAATCAAGCGCGGAAGCGCTTTCGACTCCCGAAAGCAGGCGCGCGCCGGCACAATCCATAAGCGCTCGACACTGCCCGTTTTTTTCCTCTCCGCGGGTGGGCGGCCGCCCTCGTCAACCATCACCGGCGGCGGCGGCGGCGGCGGCGGCGGCGGCGGGGCGGGGGGTGGGTACCGGCGAGGTGCGAGCCGTGATCTCCGGCTCTTGCTCCATTCATTTAGATCGTCGAAGCTCGTCAGCGATTCAAGAGCCGTGTAGTTGGCGTATTCTTCGGGCGGGTAGACGATGACGCCCAGGAGGTAAAGCGCGTACAAGCAGATGGTGTTGGTCGATGCTTTGGCGGCCGTGTCTACCAGTTGCTCTACGCGGGCTTTGCCTTCTTCCCCGGAGAAGACGAACTCCTTGACGCCGTGGCGATGAGTGAGGTGAAGAAGTGCAGCCATGGCGTTTTCCTGCAACTTGGCCGACGGCTCGCCGCCAACCACGGCGCTCAGGAGGGCGACCGCGGCCTTTGCCATCCGAGCGTTCGAGACGCGGCAGAGTGGATCATACGGACGGCCTCCGTCACCATTGCGGGGAAGACCCTTTGCCTTGAGATTGGCCAGATGCCAGATGATGGCGGCCGCTTGCTCTCGACACTCCATGGAGGTGTGATCCCCGACGATATCCACGATCTTCTGGAAACGTCCACTCTTCTCTTCAACGATCAATTCGCAAGCCTTCACGTCGCCGGACTTGACTAACCGTCCCAGTGCGTCCAACGCCATCCACTCGGTCAGGTTGCACGGTATGGAATGCCAGACAGGGTGCTGCGCATTGATAGCGTCCTTCCGACTGGGCGAGAAAGCCAGCGCAAGAAGCTGCTCGACGTCAAGGAACCAATTGCCGGGCAGTCCGCAGTTGGAGCAGCCGTCTTGGAGGGCAGCTCCCACAGCAGGTAATAACGGGTGTTGCTTGCAGTGGACGTACCAGACGAGAACGGCCATTTCTTCTTGAAGTTCTTGAACCCCCTGCTTTTCTGCCTCTATCATCGCCCTCATTCTAGCTTCGTTGTGGTCGCGGAGGTTGTCAGCCGCGGGTTCCCCCTCTCTTGCCCCTCCGCCGCCTTGCTGCGGTTGTTGAGCAATCCCACCTGGCTGGATTTGCGGGGGAGCAGCTCCGGGCGCTGCCGGGTCTGCTTGTGGATCCCCGGCACACTGGCAGATCTCGTTCTCTCCCCCGCTTGCGCGACCTTCTGCGCCGCACCGCCTCTTCGGGTGGCCAAGAGGCAGCCGAGGCCTTGTCGGGGTGCCGCGCCTTACTCTGCGGAGCCGCGGTCGAGGAGGCACTTCGGAATCGCGACGCCCACCGATGCCGCTGCTACTCGAACAACCCTCCCCCGAAGGGCCTCCTGACGTCCCCACTCCTCTCCTCCCCTCATCACATAAAGCAGGCGCCTTTCCTCTTGCTTCTGCTTCTGCTACTGCTCTCGCTTTTGCTGCTGCTACTGCTCTCGCTTCTGCCTCCTCTCCCAACTCATTTTCCTGCTCTGCGTCGCCAGCGTTTCCACCCCTGCCATCATCGTCTGTCCCGCCATTATCGTCTCCCCTGCCATCCTCAGGCTGTCGTTGGCGATTCTGGTCCCCTTCTCTTTCTCCTGCCGCTGGCAGAATGGCTAATGAGTTATTCGCTGAGGACCTCGGCAGAGCTGATGACAGTAGCCCTATTAAATGCCCCACTCTGCGACGGAAGCTCGCCAACCAGAAAGGTATCATACAAAATGGCTGTATACAGGTGATGACGATGGAGAAGATAGTCTTCAGGTAAACGATGGCGTAACAAAGATGAACCATCTCTTCCCGTCTCTTTTTGTGCTTTTTTTTATTTATCCATGTTAGCCAGATGGCCAGGGCTCCCTGGGCCAGAAACCCCACCACTCGCAGATACCAGACCGTTACCAAGTAGCATTTGTGGTACGGTTTCTCGACCAGGTGCAGCGCGAGTAGCGAGCAAGGGACGTCCTTTGTGTAGTAGTGATGCAAGAAGTTGCGCGCCAACTTCTGTACCGCCTCTATCAAGAAGAGAACCACGGCAATCCAGAAGACCCATCTTGACAGGTCGCCCCCAAATGAGCCCACCAACATACCACACACCGTGAGGATCAGCCAACCCACCGCCGTCTCTCCCATCTCCAGAATAACCATCCTTTTAATTCGCCACTTGTCGCTTTTGCGAGGAGGAGGAAGGTTCCTCACCCACTCGACAGCGTCCTCGAAGTCGCCGCGACCCCTATTCCCCTCGCGCCCTTCGCCATCCGAGTTGGCTCCTCCACCATGTTCCTGACGAGCAGCATGTACTAACAACTCATTTCCCCCCGGCTGAGCCGGAGGCGTGTGCCTCCGAAGCATCCGGTAGGACAATTGGATTGCCATTTCTGCGATGTGATGGCCTAACTAATTAAACTGTTATCTCCCAACTGATGGCCTAATAACTAACGAAACGATTATCTGCGAAGTGATGGCCTAGCTCAAGCGTTGCACCCGCAAACTGATGAAATGCAGACCTGAGTTCGAATTCCAAATGGAATCAAGGGAGTGAACAAAAAAAGAAAGAAGCCATGGTCTAACTAACTAACTACATAACTTAGCTCTCATCTCGCCTAAATGCTCATTATTAGCATTACTCCGATGGTATAATGCTTGCCTCGATTCTATCTTATCGTATCTCATCTTATCTCCTATCTTGGTTTATCTTATCTTACCTCATGCGGCGAAGCAGTTATCGACTCGTACGCACTTTCTTAAAGGTAATGATTGCTAACGAGGGCAAGTCATCCAGAAGCCCACCCAAGCGGCAAGAACTGCCGAGAAGGCCAATCCGGTCCTTTCGACAGGTCTTCCTCCGGCTCCAGCTCCAGCTCCTGCTGCGCTCGCGGTAAAATGGTTCTTTTCACTTCACTGCTCTAAGAAAAGACGGAAAGCACGCAACTTGCACGTCTGCATTCTGTCTGCGACCTGCCAACGCTGCAGAAGCCGACACCATAGCGACGCTGGCGAGTGCGAGTGTCAGAACCTGTTGATCTCACTCAAGCGAGAGGCAGGCAACACCGAGGAGTCGGAGAAAGGAAGGGATTTATAACTCGTAAGAATCGTAACTAGTCGGAGTCATAGGGAATGGAAAATCTCCCTCGCTTATTGGATATGGTGATATAGTACTTCCGAAAACTGCAAGCTTCCCAACCCTGTTAGTTTGCGCCTGGAACTCCTACCGTCTGCCGCCAACACTCAGGAATAGCTGAATGGGTGCCTGCAGGAGGAGGAGGAAGCGGAGGAGGAGGAGGAGTGGGAGGAGTAGTGGTAGTAGGAGGAGGAGGAGGGACCTATCGACTGGCTTGCCCTTTCACTCATAACTCCATGACCCTCTTCGGTAGCTTCCCTACCCTATTAGTTTGCTCTCGGAACTCCTGATGCTTGGCGCCAACACTCAGGAATAGCCGAATGACTGCCTGCTGGAGGAGGAGGACGAGGAGGAGGAGGAGGAGGAGGAGGAGGAGGAGGAGTGGGAGGAGGAGTGGGAGGAGGAGGGACCTATCGACTCGCTTCCCTTGTTGGTCATAATTCGATTATCCCTTTTCGGATTCGGTGCCGGTCACAATCCCAGAACCAGGGACTATCTCCAGAGATGAAGAAATAAAGAAGGGAAGTGGTGATGGAGTTAGAGATGAACAGAAAAATGAGAACAAAGGAAAGCTCTCTCTCCTCGTGAATAGCGGGACCTGCCTAGGGAAAGCATAGATCTCTCGGTCGACCACTGTTTTGCGCTTCGGGCAAAAGTGTACGACTGATAGACTACGAGAAAGACGAGGAAAGAAGCAAGACTAAGAACAGGACGTCTCTCTCCCCCCCCCCCCCCCCCCCCCCCTCCCCTCCCCTCCCTTTGTGAATCGTGGGACTTTGTGGAAGCACAGACTTCTTTAATCGACTGGTTTGCGCTTTCAGAACAGGTGGTGGTCTAGGATATATAGAGGCTGCCTAGAATACGAGATACAGGTGCTCCATCGATGTACTGCGTGAAATCCGAAAATCCGAGATCGGATATATTTATACAACGTACAATCGCGTTAGCGCATGCTCGCAATAGGTCCGACTCTGCGCTCCAACGGACGTCGGACGTACCTGAGAGAGGCAGCGCACTAAGCGGCAAAATTTACAGTTCGGCCGCAAGAACAGGTCGATAGAGAAGATCCGCGTGTGCGCTCAAAGCGCCGGCAGAACAGCTCCACCGCTGACGCACAAGCCGTATCCTCGGCTCGGTCGATCCCGATCGCTCCCTGTCATGTCATACGGAATCGACCAACGACTACTCTACTACTCTAACGTCTGTTTTCTTACGGTCCCTACCAACGACTCCTGTAATTTCGTTCCTGGAAGGGGTACGCACGAAAGATGGATGACCTGGAGTATCGACCTGAACCAAGTGAAGATGGTGAGATTCGATCCATCGACGGACTTGGGGCAAAGTTGAAACTCCTTGCAAAATTACGACGACCGTTGGTGGACTTCTGAAAAAGAAAAGTAAAATACATGTTTTCACATATTCATCCTCCACGAAAGTGCTGCACCATATACCGGAAAACAGCGGCCTGCTTCCGAAGCACTAACGGAAAGAGGAGCGAAGCAAGGGGGAGAGAGAGGAGAGAGAGAGGCAGCGAGAGGGTTGAGCGCAGGCGATAGCAGAGAGAGACACGTCCTGTAAGTCTTCATTAAGTCTTCATCCTCGAGGCTCGAGTTGGATGCCAAGTCATCGTCGTCGGCAAGAGTCAGTCAGTCACGACTCACGAATAGCAGGCAGAAAGATAGGCTCTGAGTCTGTGTCCCCAAATGCGAATCGGCAATCTCCAGGCGGCAATCCTCCCCCCACCGTCGCAGTAGCCTTCATCCCACGGGCTTTCTTCTCCCCCCCCCTCCCCCTTCCCTTCAGGTCGCCGGTTCTCCCTCTATATCTGAGAGAGAAACGGCGATGGGCTCTGAGTCTATGTCCCCAAATGCGAATCGGCAATCTCCAGGCGGCAATCCTTCCCCCGCCGTCACAGTAGCCTTCAGCCCACGCAGCATGCCATGCCCCTTGGTCTCGTAATGGGTCGACAGGAGCCCATCGCCGTTTCTCTCTCAGATATAGAGAAGCAGCGACCTGAAGGGAGGGGGGAGGGCGGGGGGGGGGGGCGGGAGAAGAAAACAGAATCAGCGAGTTGAAGGAAACCTGACTGGCAGAATTGAACGAGCTTAGTCCTCAGGGCGTACTCACATTTGCAGTATCTCAAATGTATCTGACCGCATTCACGGCCACACCTGGGTGTATCTGAACGCAATTCCGTCCACAAATACGTAAAACCGTCCTACATGTAGTGTGAGTATGCCCTCAGTTGGTACACACACATAAACTGTTGAAATGCAGACCTCACCTCAGTTCGATTCAGTTCGAATCAGTTCGAATCCAGATGGAACCAGATCAACGAAATTCCTGAATTACCTGCGCCCGGTCAGTTTCGCGACGGTGTCTCAAGGCTGGCGCCCTTATTTGGAGGCGAAAAAAAAAAAGAAAAAAAAAAAGGGGTAACTTCGGCGCAGTCACGAAAACAGTTTGTAATTGCGCTTCAGGCAATCCCGCGAATACAACACACCCCCACGCGACCCCACCGGACCCGAAACGTAGGTCACATACATTCAGCAGTACCGCCCCTTTTGCCTCAAGTGCAATTACAAACTCAATCCCTGACTGCGCCGTAATTTTCTCAAAAAAAAAAAAAAAAAAAAACTGCCCGGTAGCTGAAAAGCACACACTGTCACACACCACGGAACTAGTGATGCACAGATCAGGAGCTCAAACACTGTTCGGATCAAATGACGAGAAGCGAGCCCCCCTTCAGAAATAACGAAAACAGCGAAAACAGAAAAAGGAAAGCAAACAAGTGAAACGCTTGCCGCGCGAATTAGGAAAGAGGAATTGGTAGGGAACTCCGTTACAGGTTAGATATTTTACTGTGTTTTTTTTTTTTTCCTCCTTCGTTTTGACGTCACGCGCGCTCTTTCCCATGACTTTCAACAAAAAGAAGGGCGGCAAAGCGAGCTCTTTCCCATGACTTTCTTTTTTCTTCTTCTTTTCTTTTTCCTTTCTTTTTTTCTTTTCCATGACTTTCAAAAGAAAGAAGGGCGGGGAAGAGGAAGTTGAACGCAAACTAACATCGGCGGGAATTTCCTGCATCATTATGTATCTGACCCATACTCGGGCTTCTCCTTCACGCACTTGACCGTAATTACTTCTAGAGGGAGAAAAAAAAAGAAGTCCAAATGTGAGTGTGCCCTGAGGGATACAGGATGTGTGGAAGGACAAGGACGAGGAGGTGGAGGCGGGAGTCCGAGGGATGGAAAAACTCCTCTTCTTTTTTTGTTTTGTCCTCTTCAGTATGATTCTGTTAGAATTCTAGGGGTAACTTCAGTAGAGTCACAAAAACTCGAGTTATAATTGCACTATGGGGCAAGATACAGTTTGCAATTGCACTTCAGGCACCCCACCTGGCCAGAAAGCTGGGTTGTATACATTGCCCGAACTGCAATTCGAAACTGTATCTTGGCCCATAGTGCAATTATAACTCATTTTTGTGACTCCCGCCTAGTTTCCCCAAACCCGTGTTTTTAGTATTCGAGACGGACATATGCATGCATTCACATAAATGCCATTAAATTTCAAAGAAGACGAAGAAGAAAGGAAGGAGGAGGAAGAGGAGGGGAAAGAAGAAACTATAGACCAGAAGAAGAGAAGAAGAGACGGTTGAGCACCATCTTGCCCCGAATAGAGCGTACGGTCATTAAGGCTGTATCTAGACAAGGGGAAATGTCGCCGATCTCGCCAAGTCATATAGCTGTGACAGAGCTCGCGGAGGTCCGGACAGCGGCGCAGGGCCTGGCTACACCACTCGCCACGTGCATGAAAGACAACATTTATGGCGGTGTATCTTTCCATGTTCTAGCGGAAGATTCAGCCTCATTTTGCAGATCTGTTGAGTGGTGAGAGCCAGGTCCGCAGTCTCGTTCCGCCGCCCAGTCGAGCCATGCCTCGCTGCTAACGATGAGAGATCAAAAAAGACGACAACTTTTTGGGCTTCTCTGTGGCCCAGATTGCGGTCAGGTGCATCGAGGCCTGGTCGGAAGAGCGACCATATACATCCACGAAAGTCCTATAGTGTGAGTATGCCCTGAGAACACAGTGCACAGATCCTAAGGCTTCCCACTGGTCGCCCCCTTTCTGCCACGCCCCCTCCTCCAGCTCCTGCTACCAGAGGGCATCGCCCCACCACTCTCGAAATGTGCCAAATGAGAATGAACTTCCCGCTAGAACCTGGCCAGATGCACCCGCCACATTTTTTGTCTTTTTCACATTTCCACAGTGGTGCGGCCAGACCCAGAGGGCACAGTCACAGTGGGCACACATAAATCGACAAAAAGAGCATCACCACACAGCGCACACAAACAGAAAAAAATTATGTCCTCGCTCAGCTGGTAGACCGACAAAGGGCGTCGCCACATCACTCTCGAAACGTGGAAAAGACAAAAATGAGG